CCGGTTTCTCAGCTGAGAGGCTTCGAGTAGCAGGGAGATGGGTGAAGTCTTGTTTTTGCACCTGTCCAATAAGCAGCGCTAGTTTAAGCTCAAATACTTTGATGTGGGAATACATGTCAGATTAGTTTTCCCTTGCCTTGGAGCTGCAAGTTGAGGCCGTTTAAAATTTCTGACACATCTGTTAATAAAGGCGAGGTCCCATTTCCATTCTGTGTCGATCAGCTCTGGGACAGTTTTTCCCTTTGTCAGGAGAAAGGCATTGATTTCGGGTAGCAGGTCGTAAAAACGCTTCAAAACTCTGCCCCGGCTTAACCAGCGGACTTCAGTGTGGTAAAGCACGTCTCCGTGGGCTGATTCTAGCTCGGAGAGAAAGGCTTGGAACTGCCTGTGTTTAAGTCCGTTTGCTCTGATGAAGTTTATGCAGGACACAACCACCTTCATGACAGATTCCCACCTCAGAACTTTGCAGCTTGACGCTGGCTCGGTCACGATCAAAGTCACGTCAGAATATACCATTGTGTGAGGAGGTGAAGATGAGCCACTATTAACTATAAATAGCTCATAACTATGGTCAATTTTAATTAGAATGCCAACCTTTAAGTACGGATATGTTATGATGTTATGATAGGAAAATGCAATTTAATAAAAATTGGTTGATGTTTAGAGGGATTGTCTGGGATCGTTAAGTGGGCCACTCCAATTGCTTTGGCGGGCTGGATGTGGCCCGCGGGCCGTAGTTTGGGGACCCCTGCTTTAAACCTTGCTTTGTTTCTACATGTCAACCGTTAATAAACAGTTTTAAATACCTTTAAACGGTGGTATTTCAGCTTAAATGTACTGTAAATTGTGGGCCCACTCACACACACAAGCTGCCAACAAAATGAAAGTAAAATTAAACAAATAAACCCACAGTTGCAGCCCTGAGATGCTAAGTGGTAGCCAAATAACGTAGAAGTTGCTTCACTCCAACTCAACTCTAAGCCAATACAACTGTTCAGTACTCACCATAGCTGCAGGTAAGTCACACAATCCCAGTGTTGGACCTCCACGCTGGTGGAGTGAGCAGGCGGGCTGATGGCTGACCGTGGCGGGCTGGCAGGGGGGAGTCCTCTCTCCAGTCCCACTCCGTCGGTAAAGAAGCTACCAGGCTTCACTTTGCATCCCAAAGCGCTGGCTGGTGACACTGACTGTCTGTAGCGATCCAAAGAAGCTTCCAGATCTTTAGCCGAGTCACTTGCAGTCTGTCTGCGCAGTTCGGAAAGTCTTTAACAGCAACTAACTTAGCTAGCTAGCTGGAAATGCTAACAGTAACACAATATCAGCTTCTGCATTACTGAACTTCTCACGGTACACATTCAAATTTTCACTGGTTAGCATTATTATGCTCTAATGTACACAGCGCATTGACTGGCAAACCACACTTTAAACCGGTTTTACAACAGTTCTGAGTCTTTTGCTTCTCTCGCTCATCCTCCGAGCACCGAGCTTCGCCAACGACGTCACTCGCTCACCTTTTTTTCTCGCTCTATCGCCCCACCTCGTTAGGTCCCGCCTCCCAGCCAATCACAATGCAGGAAAAATGACATGACCCTTAATCAACCAACCACATATGGTAAAATCCAACAGTGTAGGTTGCACTGTTAACGCCACATTCTTATTATGTACAATGCAAACAACCTAAACCTATTTAAAGTGGCAGAACTGTTTATGTAGAACTGGAAATACTGGCCACAACATATTTATTCTGGGTAGGAAAAGAAAATTAGCTACTAGCAACTAGAGTTGGATAGAAAATTAAGATGTACTGTTATTTATGGACGGTTTAAATTGCCCTGGGGCTATAGAAGTATTAGCATCTACTAACTGTGATCATTAATTTTCAGTTTCAGCATGTAGAATATTTTCAGTTAAATGAAATTATATATTTACAAGTTACAAAGTGCTTCACAATAAAATTATTTTTGAAAACAGGTAGAATAGTAACAAACACAGGAGCAACAAATTATAATTTACAAAACTGAAATGACATCTACAATAAAGTGAAATCAAATGAATGTAAGGGAGTCTTTGGATGTTTTTTTAAAGTGTCATTTTAATTGAATGGAAACTAGTCCAAACACTTTGTCTCCCCTGGTACGCAGCTGGGAACATCTGGTTAGCCAACCTGAGAGACTTAAAGTTACTACATAGACACAACAATTCAGAAATGCACTCTAGGAGTTTCAGCTTCCAGAGGCTTATGGGTAATAACCGAAATAATATGCTTAACTTTAAACTCATCTGAATGAACAGAGGGCAACACTTGGGTAAATTGCTCCATGCTTTTTGTCTTTGTCAGAAGAAATCAGGCTGCATAAATTTAAACTATCTGCCGACGCAGTACAGGTGAATAAATAATAACAACACTCTATTTGTGAAGAAACAAAAGCATGGATTAATAGGGTCCTCTGAGTTCTCTAAGGGCCAATAAGGACCTCTATTTTATTGTGATGACTATTTTAAACTGGGGTTTTGTTCTGTAACTCTGCAGCTGACCTTGCCCTTCTTTCTCTTGTCATGCTGAATTTTATTTTATGGTTTTACAGATGATTTAAAAGTTTGACCATTTACTTTGGGGTGTAGCAACAGCTGTAAGGCACATTCACACCCGGTTTGAAACTGAAGTATTTTCAGATTTCAGACTATAATCATCAGATATTGTATTGTCAACATACATGTAAAGCAGGTGTGTGGTCAGCTCTTAAATCTCTAACCCCTGTCCTCTCTCCCTCCTACAGATACTTCCAGTGTCTTCCCAAGTTTGGCCTGTTCGCTCCGATCCACAAGGTGATCCGCATCGGCTTCCCCTCCACCAGCCCGGCCAAGGCTAAGAAGAGCAAGCGCGTGGCCATGGGGGTCTCCTCTCTGGCCCACAGCCCCAGCAGCTCCTCCATCAGTTCAGTCAGCTCGGTGGCCTCCTCCGTGGGTGGACGACCGAGCCGAGCTGGACTGGTAAGACGACCTGCGATGTGCTTCAAACACACACTGAGAGCAGAGGGGCTGTTCACACAGAGCAGGATGAGCAGTTTAAAGGAATTGTTCAGCGGTTTGAAAAATGCGCTCAAACTGACGCTTTCATGCAGAGTTAGAGGCAGAGGTTGAGACCACTGTCATGTCTGGACATTAATTATGAAGCCACAGCCAGTCCTGTCCTCACTGTGAGATTGACAGGGGAGACTCCTGGAGGTTACTGCTCATAACCCCCTGTAAAACCACAACTAGCCATATTTACACTTTGGTTTTTTTGTACAAATGAGACAAACAATATGAGACAAAACTGTTTTTCCCTGTGTCCAGGCTTCATGTTAAGTTAAGTTAACTGGCTGTTGGTTGTCGGCTCATATTTACCGTACGGGCACAACAGTGGTATTCATGTTGTCATCTAACTCTTGGCAAGAAGGTGAATAAGCGTTTTTCCCAAAATTATTCCTTTAAAGTCGGTAAGTGAGTAAGTAAACTTTCTTTCTATAGTGCCTTTCAGTTACAAGGTGCTTCACAGGTGTGCGATTATAAAATAAAACAAGACTAGGTCAAAACTTAGTGTATGGCTGGACCGCACATGAACAATGGCATCACTGCAGGCTGTAAACGACCCCCTCATAGAACCTGTTTGTGCCAAATCATTTTGAAAGAGCAACAGCCAATGGGGAAACTCCAACTCAGCCACGAGGCACTCATATCACAATATGATCACTCAGTCAGACAGTCAGTCAGTTGCCATTAGAGGGTTTGTCCAACTGTTGCAGTCCAGCCAAAAAAAAAAAAATGCAAATACATAAAATACAACCAGAATTTCAGGGAATGGCCAAACATATAGAAATAAAACAAAACACAAAAGTGACTTGTATTGGCGTAGATAGGACATGAAACCAACAAATACAGTTCTTCTAACCTATAACATCTTCTTTTTTTTTTATAAATTCTTCTTGAACATAACTTTAACCATATATTTATTATAATTTTCCTTTTTTATTAAGTAAAAGTTCATAAAAGAAACTGTTGCAGTTAAGTGTTTAAAGTTTTTGATTTTACTTTGTGAGGTATTAAGTCTCTAGATTCAGACAGTAGGATGATGAATAGGTTGATTGTATTGAAATACTCCCTGAGCTGCGGGGCAGTTAATAATTTGCATTTTGTTGCTGTGCAGTGTGAAGCTCTGATTCACTGACTCTGCGTTTTGCTCCTGCGTGACAAATCTGCAGAGCTGCAGCTGAAAGAGAATTCAAAGGGCTGGTTTCAACACGCTGCGTCTTTAAGACTAATATCCTCAGTGATGGTCGGCAACAAGCTAAAACGAATGGGACGTCAGGATATCTCGCATTGATTTGAGTTCCTGGCCGCGAGCCAGATCTTGGACAGAGAACACACCCCGTTACTTTCCTTGATTGTTGGCAGCGGCGTCAGACAGCACTGAAAGCAAACTGATCACACAGCACAAAACAGTCTGACTCACTGTCATTCCTAAAGCTCTTGTACCATAATCATGCCATAATTAGTTTGTCGGCAACGGTGGAAAAGTCGGCACCGTCTCTGATTTGCATGGCTGATTTGCATGGCTAATTTGGAGGCACAGAAATAGAGGTTTACATAAGGATCTCAAACACAAATGAGCTTCACATCCCACATGCAGCACAGTGTTAGAAACCTCAGTCACTCAGTCAGGTTCTGCATTTATAACAGTAAAGATAAATATTAATAACATCAGTCAGCAGTTCTCACTGAAACATATAAAACATACACAAAAGCGAGAATACGTCACTTTCCGAACCTCCATGTGTTTGATATTATGAGTATGTCAGCTGTTTCTTCAAAATGCAGGATTGTTTTTGTGAAGTTTTATTCTGTTTGTATAGAAGATGCTGCCTTGAACTTCTCTCACAGGTCAGGCAGGAATCCTGTCAAAGAGCATACTCTAGTGGTCGAAGAACATGTTGCATCATTCATTGCAAATTTGATGCCTGTGTTTTTGATCTGATACTTTCCCAAACATTCAAATATTCCCTGAGAGAATAAAATTTCCATATCTAAGTTGTTTTTTCACAACAATCTTCCTGTCAGGATGGGGGAGCTACTTATACAGAAGGCTAGATTTTCTATGTCTGTGACATTTCTTGATTTTTGGGGTTTTTATTTTTTTTATTTTTTTTGGGGGGGGTGTGTCAAGTTTTGCTTTTAATGATCATGAAATAATTAATCTGTGAACACATGACAGCAGAGGGTCGTTATGTGAGGTTAACAGAACAGTTGTTTTCATGATCAAAAACATGATCATGAAACTGGTTTTGACCTTAAATTTCGTCACAAAGCAAAGTGTCATGTAGAGATTACAGAATGACTGTTTTCCCATGATATAGGAAATAAATATATCATGATCTTTGAGACATTAAAGTTTGCTGTCAGAGGATGAGATGAATGTGATGTCAGACACAGAAAACGTGATTTACATGTATCTTTTCTTAACCCTCCATGCGTCAGTGTCTCTCCGTTTCTCCCCGCTCTCTCCGATTCTTCTTTTCCCTTTCTCGTCTTCTTCTCACCCTTTAAATATTCATCCTTCTCCCCGGCCCACATTTCCTTATGTTTTATGCTCTTTCCCTCTTAAGCTGACAGAGACGTCGTCGCGCTACGCCCGCAAGATCTCTGGCACCACCGCGCTCCAGGAGGCACTGAAGGAGAAGCAGCAGCACATCGAGCAGCTGCTGGCCGAGAGGGACCTGGAGCGGGCCGAGGTGGCCAAGGCCACCAGCCACATCTGCGAGGTGGAGAAGGAGCTGAGCGTCCTCAAGGCGCAGCACGTGCAGGTCGGGGAGAAACAGGAGTCATCCCAGTGACTTATGCAACAATAAATCTGTTGTTAAGCGCAGCATGCTTCATCAGCACCTCTCTTCTTACTCTCCACAGTACGTAACAGATAATGAGAGCACGCTCCAGCAAGTCAAAGCCATGCTGTCCAGCACACAGAAAGACAAACTGGAACTGGCCAATCAGCTTGAAGAAGAGAAAAGGTAAAATCACAATGTCACTCGTGCTGCTTGTGGTCTCTCATGTTCTGGTTTCTAAATCTAAATGTGAATCACTGATAAAAAAATAAATTCACAAATTGTTATACATGGAATTATATGTTTGCTCCTGTTAAACTCAGTTTTCTAATTGTATTTCAATTCAGTTTAATGACACTGTATCCTCATCATAATTGAAAGAAATGTTTATCTCAAGACTGTGAATTCATGAGGGAATTGATCACAGTTTAAACTGAATCTTAAACGAATATTTAATAATATTTAATGGTCAAATTGGTCACAATAATCGTTCCCCTTTTCTTTATTTGGCATCACTATTTAAAGATAAAATAACACAAACAGTGCCCAAGCTTTTTGATCCATATACACTAGATATACACAATGCACACTACAGCCTGAGATACAACTCATCAAAACATCATTTTTACATTTTGTTGAGTGTATGAAGTTTTAAAAAGTTATATACTGTGCAAAGAGTTATTGTAGTTACTGACTAACGTGTCAGTAACGTTGCTGGGACAGAAGATGTGGCTGTAGCGTGTCTCGACTATGATTGCACACAGAGAAGGTGAATTTTACCGATCCTTGTCTGTTTTCATTCTCCGTCTGATCCAACTTGTATTTTTACAGGAAAGTGGAGGACCTCCAGTTCAGAGTAGAGGAGGAGTCCATCACCAAAGGAGACCTGGAGGTATTTATCAGCATGATTAATACCTATAAACTATCAATAAATCAATGTACTGTATGTGTTTCCTCGTACTAATTTACAGTGTATCCTTTAATATCACAGGGCCATGTTTGAGTAGACAGTTTTTCATGCTGTGTAACAACAGTCAGACAGCAACGTCAGCATAATGCAAACCCTGGAGATCCAGACAAAAAGGAACATTTTCTAAAGGGTTTATGCAGAACAGATGATAATGTGTTTGGGAAGATGCTTCAGCAGGGAGGATGATCTGAACTAGAGGAACTGTGGAGCTCATTTCCCGCCAAAACTTAAACAAACAAAACATTGAATTTATGCCTTTCAAATACAAAACGTACCCATGAAACAAATACGCAACATATTTCTGACGTTTTCAGACACAAATACAAACAAATGTCTTCCAGAAAAGAAAAAAAGATTTTAAAAAATGACGGTCTTTCCACTGTGATTGTGCCAAAGATTTTCTCACAAATGTCCTGAGTAATTCACCCTCCACAACAGGAGGTGGCGCTACGAGTCAGTTTGAATGCAGCAGGAGGCTGAGCACAGCAGACTGCACAGAGCTGGAGGTTGGGTATTAGACAGACGTTCACCCCAGATCCAGCGGGGTCTTCTTGTGAAGTTTTCACCTTGTGTTTGCAGCAGGAGGACGGTGAGCTTACCTCCCAGCCCTCCTGCTGAACTAACAGCCTTTATACTGTGACCATTGTGCAGCCACACATCTCTGGACCAGGTTTCACACCCACAAACACCTGATTGACAGCTTCCCCCCGCTCACTGTGCTGTCTGCTCATAACTGCTTACCCCAGCAGAGACTTCATGAACAGGGAGCAGTGGATTTCAGCTGCAGCAGATTTTGGGACAGAAGTCAAACAAAATATGAGGATTTAAAAACCATGAATAAATTGCTGACTTCACTGAACGTGCGCACTCGTATCTAATTTTTAAGCTCGGCAGAAAAGTCTGAACTTCGTTAGATAAAGTCCACTATCAGTGCTCGCTGCTGTCTGCCCCCTTGAGAAAGAACCTGAATGGAAGGTAAATAGAATTTGTTCGCTCTTGAATGTGCTTTTGGTCGCCGCTGCACTTAGCCTTGAGATGTACAACCCAAAAAAAAAAACACATCTGTGGTTCTGCAGCACGGTGACTACATTTTTTAGCCTTAAAAATATCCTTGAGATCAGGACAGATTTTTTTTTTTTTAATACACGTTTATGCTACATCTGCAGTCACCTACTTAATTCTCTAGACAGACAGTCTGCGTCCCTGTTAAAAGATAAGTCGATATTTAATATTTATTTTCATCTCTCAGTGCTTTCTGACTTCTCTACCTGGTCTGTGGCACAAGCATGGTTCCAACCTTACATGTAAATCTTTTAAAAAAACAATAACAAATGTTTAGTTTCTTTGTTTTTTAAATGGCTCAGTAACTTCATAAAACACCTGGGCGCTGTAGTTTCTTATATAAACAAATAGTAATAGTGCATTTGCCGGGAACTATTTTCAGCCTTCTAGTTTGTACAGCAGCAGGAGCAGGACAATGTGTGTGTTGAGTTTGTGCTCATGGTAATGTAGGGACGAGAATAAATGTTTCTGTTTAATGAAATATAAAGATTTAAATATTTAAAAAGAAAACCTGTATGTGAATATTTAGCACATCATCAAAGCAGCTGTTCGCTGGCATATGAATGTACACTGTGTTTCACTTATTAAACAGTACAGGTACGACTCAAACTTGTCCTTCCCTGCTCTTAACTGCAAAATGTACTTTCTCTGCGAGTGCAGTCTCACTTCAGAGTCTGAAATCAAACTGTTTAGATGGGATCTGACTTAGCTCTCAAGCCTCTTCTCCTCAAATCTTCCCATCATATAATCAACTCAGTTCTTGCACAGTGCTGCTGTCTACAAAGCTGCCCTTTCATCATCTGTTGACAGTTTGTTCTGATCTTTATCGTTCCCCTCCGATCTTTATGGGTCTCTCCCTTTGAGTCTTTTTTCCTCCCCTCTCTGTCTTTCTCTTTGTCTCTTTTTGTAGACACAGACGAAATTGGAACATGCCCATATTCGTCAGCTTGAGCAGAGCCTGCTCCTCGAAAAGTCGAGAGCAGAAGCACTTCAGAAAGAATTAGAGAGGAGGAGGGTAAAAAAAAAAAAAAAAACCAACAACAAAAAAAAAAAAACACAGCACGAGCCCTTTGCCTGTAGCCACTGTTCTGTGTGGTTCTGCACCTGTTTGCTTCTTTGTTGATGGTAGCATAACTCACAAGCTGCACAGGTTCAAGCCGTACTCCACCTGTCTTTGGTGTCCAAATCTACATCAAACCAAACTAGAGACACACTAATGATAAACATTTAAACTCAGTACACATGTCTGTTTTTGAAAAGCTTCACTTTTTAGTCTGAAAAACAATGCACAAAAACTGGATCACTGTCTGTTCTGACACTCCAGATCCTATGTTACAGTTGTATATTTATAGTGTATATCAATGCAGCTGTAATACAGCTGAGGTGGCACAATTGTTAAACACAATTATTAAAATCCTACAGTTTAATGGATATAGCTGCATTATTCTGTAACAAATCCCATGAAAAGAGCAAAACCAAGAATGTGTCAGTCCGTAGTCTGACTTCTTTAGCATGTCTGTGTTCCTACTGGTTCCTACTGAAAACATGTAGTCTCACATAAATAAATATATACACAGTATAGTTTCATTCATAAAAGGTGACTTTAAGACAGCTTTGTATTTTGTATTAAACACACCTCAAACAGAAATAACTAGTGAATTTCTTTGGCTTTCACCTGCGGATTAATACACATTAAGGTCTTCTAGTGGGTATTTCCAGACGCGTGTGTCACTTCCTGCCAAGATGTATGCTAATTGGTGACTCAAAATTGCCCGTAATTTATGAATGAATGAATGAGCTTGTAATTGGATTAGTTTTGGTCTTTTTATGGGATTTGTTGAATCAAGAAAACTTCATTTGAATTTTATAATGTAGCCATATCATGTAACTACTACAGTAACTACTGTATGTCTGAAATACATTGGTATGGGAGTATTTAGCAGCACATGCGCTGTTCTTTCACATAGATATTAAAGTCTGGCCACAGATCCTCGACATGACACTGATGGATGATTATTTATCACCTTATATGAGGGTAGAAACATGCAAAACATACATGCACACTGCCTCTATCCCCTCCCTCATTCTGTCACTCTCATGTCATGAATCACAGTGATACTACTCCTACTCCACCGTTGACCCAGAGCCCCCCCCCCCCTCCCCCCCTCGCCTAACCTCAGACACTCACCTTTGAAAGGAAACACAGTACCAGTCGTGGCTCTCAGCTGCTTCAGCTTTTCACATCTTATGTTGCAGTAGCTGGTGTTAATTATTTCTTTTAAACTGTGATTTCTTTTTTCTTTTCTTTTTTTCTTTTTTTTAATTTCAAGGTTGTCGTTGGGATCAGTTGCCAGCTGCACTTTAAGATGCCAGGACATAACATTCGACATAACACCCTTCCATTTTAGCTCGAGAGTACGCAGTGGATAAATCTCCCTAAGCTCCGTGATAATTTTTGAGCAGTTATGTAATTAGCAACACATGAGAAATTGCTAAATTGTTGATGGGATTCCTCAGTGATTCTCCGAGTAATCCTCCGAGACAAATCATCGCGGTGATGCCCATTTACAGTCAGTAGTTAAGTGCGGCAAAAGGACGTCCTTTATGCCTCTTTGACATGCAGCGCTGCACTTCAGAGAGAGAGAGAGAGAGAGAGAGTCTCTCTTCAATAATAGACAACGGTATCACAAAACAAAAGCGTACAAGCTTGTGCTTTCAATTTTCAGGCATCAAAAGATAACAAAACACTTTGAAATGCTGGGTTCCTATATGCAGTAAGGTCTGCTTCTGCCAACAGGGAAGATGCACTCATGATGCAGCATCCTTGAGGTTGGGTAAGAGAACCAAGGTGAAAAAGAGATTTGATCTTGTTTTGGCTTTGATCCGCTGCTGAGCTATCTCAATTCTTGACTTCAAATCGACTTCAGATGCTGTCAAGGACATTAACCTTGCATAGACCCTTTTTTTTTTTTTTTTACTCTTTTACTCTTGTGTGTTGTGCTGTAATGTGAATGCTATACAGGCAACATCTCTGATATGAATCAACTAGTCACTCTGAGGTCTGGTAGATTGTTTTCCCAGATGGTTGAAATTAACATCTGTGCACTGTGCAGCAGGTCCTTCTTCTTAATCTCCTTTTTTATTTTGATTGGATCCAAGTGTGTGTTGGGTGTTTGCAGTTGTGTGTGTGTGTGTGTGTGTGTGTGTGCGGTGTTACCGTGTGGAGGTTTGCTGTCGGCTTTATTATATTTGCTTGGCTGCTTCTAGATGATCAGAGAATGGCTGTGCTCTCCTCTCATCTTTCACTTCTTTGCACATACAGTGAGCTGCACAAATATTTGGACAGAGACACGTTGATCCTTTGGCTCCTTAGTGCTGGGACTTTGGATGGAAATGATACAAAGACTTTTAACATATTTAGTGTGGACAGAAGTATCAAACACTGAGTGTAATGGTTTGTTTAAACTTTTTGATCTTGGCTAACGCTGCCAGTACTCTTGTAAAATAATGAGTAAATGCACGTTTGGCCTGCTAGAATGGGGCTACTGGAATCCATTAAAGCTGCACTAATCAATATTTTCATATTAACATCAGATTCAATGAGTATGTTTAAAGTGAAAGGGGTTGCCATAGTAACAGACGCACAGAGAGTTATCGCCTAAAACCTGCCCAGTATTTAAACATCTGTATATAATCATATACACTCTGACATCTGGCTACCAGGTGGAGAACTGGCTGCTAGTCTTTGTATCATCTTGTATCTAAGGAGTTCAACAGGAAGCCAAACTGCGAGACAATGTGTCGCTGTCCACATACTTAATGTAATGTCTTTTGTATTGTATATTCCACTGGAATGCACTTGACTGTCTCCAATCCTTGCAAGGACCTTCAGGGGTTTCCCTTTGATTTCCTTTTTTTCTTGAGGCCTGATTTTCTGCTATTAAATCTTGTTGTCACCTTTTCTTTGGAATGACGTCGTTCTGTTGCAGGGTCTCCGAACCTGTCACGGTAATATGGTCATTCTTTTGAAAGGCTGACATCTCTCTGCTGTGGCACTTATGCCAAAAAAAAGTCATTTAACAGCAGTGATGGATGTTGCTTTCTTCCTCATCAGCAAACCACGGTTGAAGAGCAGAGTCGTATCATGCAGCTGGAGGAGGAGCTCACCCTCAGACGAGCTGAGATCAAGAACCTCCAAGCTCAACTCAGAGGGCCCGACTCCAGCTCGCAGCAGGCCGACGACGGCGACGCAGTCCCCGGGTCCGACGCCCAGCCGGAGACCCAACTCCTGCGCGAGCAGCTGCTGTCAGCGGGTCGCGAGCACTTCAAGGAGAGCAGCGAGCTGAAAGAGAAGTACGAGACGGCGTTAGCAGCGAGCCAGCAGGAGATAGACTCACTGAAGGCGCTGGTGGATAAACAGAACCAGGAGATCAGTGAGATGAAGCAGAAAGCCCAACAGGCTTCCAAGGAGAACATGGAAATGATGGACACCTGGAAGGTATTCTGCTATATTCACTTTAATGCAAACTGTTCAAAGAAGTTCAACAAGAGTCATGGGCTTATTTCAGTGACTCCTGTGATTGAGTCGTGAAAGTATGTATGCTGAACCGGCACAGAGCAATAAGTTTATAATTTGCCTTTTCAAATCTGACAGGTACCGACATATCGGTGAGGATTCAGGGTCTCAGAGAAAAGCTTGAATTTCTCATTTTAATCAATTTGAAAATTGGTTTCCCAAATAACCAGCGGAGCAACCAGATTAATCTTCTCATTTCCCTCCGCAGGGTAAATTTGACACTTTAGTGAGCGACCACCAGCGATCCTTGGAAGAACTGAAGGCCTCATTGAGCAGTGATCATGCTTCTTCAGAAGGCCAAGAGCAGGACGCCCAGGAGCTGAGAGCCGCTCTGGAGAGCCTGAAGATGGAGCACCAGCTGGAGGTGGAGAATCTCAAAGCCAAACATAAGATCGAAGCTGCAATCCTCACCAAGGAACGAGAGGACTTCTCCACACGTCTACAAGAGGCCAAAGAGCAGCTGGCCGAGGGCAGCCACACATGGAGGGCCGACGTGGAGGCCAAAAGCGGGAAGCAGGCCCTGGAGGAGGCGACCGATAAGCTACAGAAGGCGGAGCAGAGGCTGGTGGAGATGGAGAAGCTTCGGGCGGAGCAGGACAGAAGCACAGAGGAGCTGAGAGAGAGGCTGGAGCTGTCGGACAAGAAGATGACAGACTACCAAGCCCTGCAGAAAGCCCAGGCGGAGAGCCAGGAGGAGATCCAGAAACTGGAGGAGAAGCTGAGGGTGACTGCGAACCAGCTCCAGGCCATCCAGGCAGACCGCTACACATCCCATGATGCAAATGTGAGTGGTTGAGGAGACAGGCTAAGTAATAGTTTGATGTTCTTCGATTGTTGATAAACTGTCTTTTAATTTCAACTCTCTTTAACTTGCTCCTTTTTCAGGTGATAGAAGATAATGAAATTTCAGATGAGAAGATGAAGCTCAAACAGAATATTGAAGGTATCTTCTTATTTGAATCTTTACATTTTGAGACAAACCACACATGCACTTCATTTGTTCTATCATTGTACTATCAGTTTTCTTAAAGCATCATTAAAACCCCTTTTTGTTCCAGCATTTATGTTGTAACTGTTGATAAGCTGCAGATCATAATGCATTACAGGGAAATGCACTGTTCTGTCTTCTTCCATTAAAAGGAATAGTTCCACGTTTTGGGAAGAACGCTTATTCGCAGACAGCAGCTGCTACACAACACAAGAGCCACACACTCACCTGACCAACAGGCCACATTAGCTTTCCTGCTAAAGTCTCCTTCTTATCTAACTTACAAACATGAGCGCACGTCTTGTCCTGCACTACTGAGCTGCAGCACGTTAAACTGCACCTAGACGTCCCTGCAGATATCGCTGTGGTCCGGGTTTAGATCCCGCTGTGCTTCTGACTCTTCGACACCACCAACAGCACACTGTCTGCCATTGACATGTTGCTACAGAGCAAGTTTGTTTACTACAGCAGCAGCTCTCCGGCAGCCTGCCAGCTGCTGTCAGTCAAACACCAACAGGCCCCTCCAACCAGCAGAGACAAAAAGAAGCGTTTTTGACATTTCTGCAACAATGCTCTTTTATTCCTTTTAATACTAAAAAAAATATATTTACACTGACTTGCTGTTAGACTGCAAAAAGGAATGACTAAATATGAAAACAGCAGAATTTTGTTTTTATTCTTCAGTTTTTATATGGATCAAACAAAAGAGAGTCAACCTGATAGTTACTGAGCTGGTAGGTGCATTTTGTTACCGTTTCCAGTCTGTATGCTAAGCTAAGCTCGCTGGCTACTGGGTGTAGCCTCACAGTTAGACAGATGAGAGTGGTATCAGTCTTCTTGTCTAAATCTGGGATAAAATTGAATAAACCCAAAATGTCAAACTATTTTTGGAGGGAAAACCAGAAAAAAAGATGGCAACTAAAATGAAATCTAAATCAGTTAATAGACGTCAGTGGTAGAAACAGATGCTGAGCAGTTCTCATTATTCTCTTCAGTGAATAAAGCTGATTTTTAACAATAGTCTATTTCAGTTAATTATCTAATGGCTGCTTTTAGGAGATCTATCCACCAAATATCCTGTGGTCGTAAGAGGAGTGACGGATACCTGCATTAACATGATGATCCACCTGACGGTTTCGTGAACACTGCACGATACTTACTGTTGTTTTGTTTGTTTCTTTTTTCTTCAGAAACAATGGAGAAGTTGTTGAAAAGGGAAAAAGAGGTCTCGACTCTCACCTCCCAGGTCGAGGCCCTCAAATCACAGATTGGAGGTAAACGAGTTTTTCATGACACAAAATCACTAAAGATGGGAGCGAGTCTTTTCACGCTCGCAGTGTTTTTGTGTAGCCTGTCGGAGAAGAGTATTTGAGAATCAACTTTTCTATATAATGTGAAAAGCTTGATAGCACCAACCAGACATTTGGCTCGACCTTGTGCGCAGCAACGCGTAGATAGGACGCCATACCCGAAGTTCAGTCAAACAAATGATTGTTTTAATTGCAGAAACAGAAACAGAATTTAACCAAAACCAAAAAAAGAAAAAAGAACGGATGGATTGGAGGAAGGGCATTCCCCCCTAAACTAACCCAAAATACAACAAACACAACTGAAAAACAGGACCGCCAGACCTCCATCCTCAAACCAGCAAAAGGAGACAGGAAGTCAGAGAGGCTGTTTGAGTGTGTGTGTGTGTGTGTGTGAGAGAGAGAGAGAGAGAGAGAGAAGGGGATCTCCCTCTGCTCCAGCCTCCTTTAAGTTGGCTGTGTGGATCAGTCAGCGTGGATCAGGAGCACAGGAGGCGAGGCAGCAGAACACAAGGGGGGGGGGGGGGGCAACACTGGCTAAAGCTTTTCCTTTAAAAAAAAAAAGAAACAGAGACATATCTCCTGATATATAAACTCGTCATCTGTGTCATATTAACAGTATTAAGCGTTGCTCCCTTTGTTCGCCTGTATGTGCGGCTTCACTTCACTTGCCTGCCAGTCACGCCGAGTTCAGCGCGCAGTGGAACGTGTTCGTTTTTTCACCGTCACAATCTTTGATCATCGCCGAGAGATCTGTCAACCTGCTGTCTTTTTGAAAGGGAAAAGTTCCATCGCATCAAACAGCTTCATGTAGTTCACATAATCATACTGACACACTTTGAAAAGCCGAGTGTAAATAATTTAAAAAGAGAAAAAGACTCAAATGAGACACAAAGTGGAGAAAAGTTGCATTATTACACTTCATGTGTCGATTTCTTTTCTTTTTTTTTTTAATAAAAAGAAGTTTGAATGTTTTGATTATTGATTTTTACAACCAGTGGAAGGTTCACGTTGAGGGTTTTTGATGTTCTTTATCAAAGTGCGGCAGAGAAACACATTTGAATTAGCAGAAGGGGGATCACCATGAAAAGCCCGTTGTCATTATGCGCACGTGTTGTGATACACCGAGTTGTTTAAGTCATGATTACTGAGCTCACAGATGCGGCATTAAGTTGTCGTTTGAGATGGATTAGTTTAGTTGGAAGAGATCATTTGATATCAGTCTAAATGCTGTGAGCGTTCATTCCTGAAGTCAGTATGTGCAGGATGAAGGATTTCTGTGATTACACACAAACGACTGTCTGTGGCTCTGACACTGTGGCATGAAACAGATCATAACAATAAATCATGTTATTGTTTTTGCCATCATTTAATAACTAGACCTCCAATAACAAAATCTGTGTCAATACGACTGTGAGGATGTAAAATGTATGAAAAAATAATTCTGGTTATTCAAGACAATCCAGCATTAAGTATTTATGAGCAGTAGGCAAACAGTTAGTTTATACACAAGTTATAAATGTTTATTAATGTATTTGTCTCGTCCTGGGAAGCATCCCTAAGTGGTGTATGAACGGTTATTGAATGATTGGTAACATATCTTAGTTAATGATGTGCTCACACACACACACACAGGAAGCCTTACAGTGTGCGATGAAGTATTTATTGACTTTGATACACACACAAATCATTCACATGCAGCTTTATAACTGTTTAATGAAGACGTGTTGAGCTCAACGTTTATAAGTATGGAGATAATATGCATTCTTTACTCAAGGTCCTCTTACTAGATTACACAGCACTCCTGCACTCTTCCTCAGTTGTCGTGGAAAGTGAAGAACTAATATTTATGGCTATAATAAATGTGCAGTAAGCATTTTCTTCAGATGGTTATTTGACATCCGCTGTGTCAGTGTGTCAATAGGAAATATCTTATTTTATATTTCCAAACATTCTTTTTGTAAGTAGCAAAATATCTGAGTGAAATATTTGTGTGGTGTTAAAGAAAGTAAAACAATAAGAGACCAATTTCCAAATTAAAAACTTAGGCTATAACATAATAAATAAGTCTAACCAAACTAAATAAATAAATATGACATATTTTCATTTTATAAACAATATACTGATTGTTTATATACTGTTTATAAATTGGGGGGGGTTGAAATAAAGTCTTATCGACTCTCTTTCCACCAGCACTGGAGGGCAAAGTTCGTTCTGGGGAGAAGAAAGCCGAAGCCCTGGCCAAGGATAAGATGCGTGTGGAGGCGGAGCTGGAGTCCATGACCAAGAAGTCCCACGATGCCTCTGGGCAGCTGGTCAGCATCAGCCAGGAGCTACTGAAGAAAGAGAGGTATGGAAACATGGCTATATCGAGTTTTACAGTCTGCAGGTGAAAAGTTATATCTGCATACATGCAGACGTTATTCACAAAGATACATCTTATATTATTGACTGAGTAGACAGAGTAGAAACGTACCAGCATTTGTTGCATTCATATGTGAGGAAAGTCCACTACACATTTCACCGTCCAGCTTAGGTGTCAATGAGGATGCAGGGAACACAAAGTCCTGACTCACTTCACTTTAATTTAAAACTTCATCGTCCCATAGGAGCACTGTGTTCTGCATGAAGGCTTTGCAGTAAAAACACATAAAACGCACTGTAAAAAAAACAATACGATGCATTTTACTTAATAAACATGTTCGGCAAGACTGAGCTCAGATGATGAGCTCAGGAGCTGCAGAGGGAAGACTTAGGCCTGGAGTTCTTCATAGATAACTGACTGAAACTGACTACAAACATATTATCAGCCTCTGAAGCTTTTATGGTAAAGGTTTATGCTAATAGTCGCCTTTTACAAAGGTATTTAGCATCATTCACATTCATTTGGAATCATTGTTTCCACCTGATGTAAACACGTCCAACATTCACTCTGATTTGAAGCTCTGTTTTGGTCTCCACCAACTCCTGACGGAAATATGTCCTAGATGTTTGAGCCACTAAATGCTCCACCAGCTAGTTGCTGGTAACTATGGTTGTCGTTCGGTGCCGTGTGGGGCAGAGGAGGAAAACAATGAGCTAAAATATGCTAAAAACACTCAAGTGACCCTTTTCACGTTACCTGTGGTTTATATAAACATATAGATGAGTGCAGCTTTAAGATGACGGATGTCAGATTTCTGTCAGAGGCTGATAGTAGTTATTTTTTGCTTGGTGGCTGACATCTCAGTGGTGAACTGAAATTTTTACGGATAAAGTTCAGTTAAACTGTGGAGATTAATTAAATTTGTAACTGAAATGGCAGCTTTGCCAGCTCTGCACATACAGCTGCCGGTCTTTTCCACCGGCACATATGGCTGTACCACATCGCTGTGAAACTGCAGGCCTGAGTCTCTGGGCCTTTTCCTCTTGAGCAGCAGAGGGAAACGGCGAAGACCTGCCAGATGTCCACCTGTCATAGACTGAGTTAGTCTTTTCACCAGCCTCCCTGGTTCATTTCTGTTGCTGAAGCCAAAGCTGCCAAACTTGGCTACATTCAATAAAACTCTGATAACTGAAGTCATTATTTAACCACCCAAGTGTAAAGAGGAAGTTGTCACAGCAGAGGTGCAGGGCTCTCTTATAGGGGTTTGTTTCACAGACACGTTGAATGAATTTATCTGCAGTGCTGTATGAACTCACATTGGTCTAATTGTATTACATCGTTGGCTATCTTACATTATACAGCCCTATATTATTGATGGTTATGATGTTAGTAAATGCTGCAAGACAGTAAAAGTAAGTGCCTCTGGCTGTGGCAGAATATTTTTCTATGCATCATCACTGAAGCAATTATGTTATATGCAATAAAAGTGTATACCTGCCATTGAAAAATTCAGTGGCTGTCTCCCTTTGAATCAGTGTTATTGGATGCTTGTATCATTTGCTCTCTTAATGTCACTGCTGCTATTTCAGCCTGTGACATCACGCCAGGGAACAAGGTGAGCGCATTGCCTCAAAAATATACGGCACATTTTTATCTTAGAAAGCTGCCGAGATAATTCAAGAGAGACGATTATCAGCAGATGACTTGGCAGAAGACAGTCCAATACCTACAGCAACCTCATTGATAAAATACACCAAGAAAGTCTCTGTTGCCGTGAGTCAGTCTGGCTGAGCATGGAGCCCAGTCGTGCCTTGAGCTCACAGGTTGTAGCAGCTGAATTTGATGTAATTTCATTGCCAGAGGCGCAGCTGCAAACAGTGAGGAAGAGGAAGGAAGTGTGGAAGACATCGCTTCACTAATGAAAATTCAGACGACCTTCTCACTTCTCGTAATCCTGCATTAATAGTTTTTCTTTTCGTCCACTTGGGGGCAGCAGAGATACAAACACAACACTGACATATTATCGGCTTATAAACTTAAGTGATGTGGCAAACTTGGTATTTTATTTACACATCTTACATCCCTTCTACATTATGCATTATACTGATACAGAAATATTGATTAGAGTCGCTTGAATATATGATCTAACAATTTCAGCACAAAGAGAAAAGGTCTTGAGCATAATTCTCTTTTTTTCTCAGTGTTACGTGCAGCTTTATCATAATTGAATTTTTGAACAAGTGTAGGGCAGTGTGCAGAAAAAAAAGGTGGCCCAGTTTATATGTAGCTCTCTGAAATCAGTTTCAGGCTAACAGCCAAAAGCTAGTTCATGTCAAACTGCACTGCCTGACTGTCCATCCACCAGCCGGTCTTACATGTACAGAGAATGAAGCCGCCTCCACAATCCCCCCTGACCAGACTGGCAAACACATTATTCACATAATGGGTTGCTGAGCTTTTAAATAATAATGACCTTTGTGGAAGGTCTGAGCAGATGCACCGCTCATATAATCCTTGACAGCAAAATTGCACAGCTTCTCTACTATTATTGCACTTGGGAGCAGTCAAGTTCACGGCGAGTCGCCGCAGTCCTGCAGACCAGAAAGGCACCTGTGGTAAATGGTTTCTATTTTTTCCTCAGCATAACCAAACACTCAAGACTCAAGGTTTCTTTTCTTCTTTTATTTCTGCTGTGCAGGAGTCTGAATGAACTGAGGGTGCTGCTCCTTGAATCGCATCGCCATTCGCGGGACATGGAGAAAGACCTGAACCGAGAAGTGCACAAAGCAGAGTGGAAGGTGAAAGAGCAGAAACTCCAGGACGACATCAAGACCCTGCGAGAAAAACTGCTCCTACTGGTGAGAAAGAGGGAAAATCTGCTTCGACAGCACATTCTGATGATAATCCAACACTGGTAGTGAGGTTTATCAAGTCCAACAGTTGATCATTACTGATTTTAGAGACATTCGAGCAGTTTTGTTGTCACAAAAGTAGAAAGCTACAAGTATAAAAGGTTTCAAGGACTCCCCCAGAAATCTGTTATGTGCTTGTCAAAGAGAAATTCGGGTCAAGATCAGTCTGAAAACAAGTGTTCAAGTCTGTCTAGACACAGATAACATATTACTGTAAGAAATTCAGCTGTAGCTGTAGTTTCTATGCTGACAAGCTTATTGATTCTCTCTTGCCACAGAGTTCAATAGGAAGTGAATCGAACTCGGGTGTGATTTTTTTTGATGGTGGTTTTTAACCTTTTCTAGAAAGATGGTTTAACATCATGAGAGTTTACATAAAAATCCTCCTCGTGATTGACAGATTTTTTTTTTTTTAAACTGGTAAGAATTGATGGAGCAGAGGTTAAGATACGTTGACTTTTAGACTGTAGTATGGATAAATGCAGGATGCTGTTTCCCATATAATGTATCTCAACAGCATCTGTTATTAGACCCCTCCTGCCTGGTAAACACCCACATTTTTTTCAAACTCCATGCCTTTTTTTATTAGCCGAGATAACCCTCTTGACATCACCAGCTATTTTCTCAGATTGACAAAGATCCTCTAGAGTTACAGATGACATTAAACAAATGTTTTCTCCGGCTGAGTCATACTAATAGTACAGAATACATTTATTTTGAAATGACTATAGCACATTAATATTTAAGTGCTAGCTCGTCTGTGTTCATACAGGCTGCTGTTAATGCTGTGAATATGTGAATAATGTATAATAATCTTTTTTTTCCACATGGTTATCACATATACAACATGATATACATGCATGAATTATTTAACAGCACACTTTAGTTATGATCTGCCGTGTGTGTGTGTGTGTGTGTGTGTGTGTGTGTGTGTGTGTGTGTGTGTGTGTGTGTGTGTGTGTGTGTGTGTACCCGCACGCATTTCAGGGTCGGGAACGGTCTTCACCCGATCACCGGCGGTACTCCATGCTGGACCCTTCGGCTCTGGACTCGGAGGTGAACCGCCTGCGCCAGCGGCTGCTTAGCACTGAGGACGCCTTGAGGAACGCCTTGGAGCACAACCAGCAAGTCGATCAGCTGGTCCAGGCCATGCGCAAGCATCCAGACAAAAGCCCGGTAAAGTTGCAAAGAAATGTCACTCCCACAGATTCAGCTCGGAGGAGGATGACAATTATTTTGGTGGCAAGAAGTGAGACAAGGGGTTTTAATGTTAATTTTAAATGGTTTAAATATTACAGATGTCATTGAGTGTCATAATATGTATTTTTGTACAGAGATAATGGATTTTAATATTTACTGCATATCAGAGACACATTTTGGGAAAAGCACTTATTCCCTTTCATGTATGTGCCATAAATATAAAGCTTCCACCTGCAACCGGTTAGCTCAGCTTTACACAAAAGGTGTGTCCCAATTCAGGGGCTGCATCTTTCGGAGAAGTGCAGTCTCCTGTTGTTGACAACACACAACTTTTTTTACAAAAACTTGAGGTGTTAAGGCCCTTGGTTTTTTAACAGTTGTTGAACTGAGCTGAAACCCAATATTCACATTTAAAAGTGTAATCCTCGGGCCCTCTGTCGGTCTTATTTTATGCCATATTATTTTCATTACTGGCCCAATGAATCTTGGGATAGTTTGGGTCACGAAGGATCCACCCATCGGAGCCTTCACCGGCCAAGAAAAGAAGGACGCATTTGAAGGAGTCTTGGGAACGGGACAGCGTAGTTTGCGCTGCTGTGACGCTCAGTCCTCAAATGCAGCCTCTGAAGGATGCGGCCCCTGAATTGGGACGCAGCTAAAGACTGGAGACATGGAGCTGTCCTGGTTCTGCCCATTTTACCGGCTCATCCAGAACACGTGTTTTCAGTCTTTGTGTTTATCTAAGCTAACTGGCTGTTGGCACTAGTTAAATATTTATATTATATAAATCTTCTCATCGAACTCTTGGCAAGAAAGCGAATAAGCGCATTTCCCAAAATGCTGAAATAGTCCTGTAATGTCATTTACAAATACAACACATGTAAATCATGTCAGTGACTCCAGTGACAGTTTATAACTGTGTTTTTCAGGCGCATGGTGCAAACTCAGCCAATGGAATTCATCATCAGGAGTCCGACAGTACTCGAGATGTTGGTATTATTTCATTTTGTTTTTTACCCCATTATTTATGTGGTGATGTTACTAAAATCTGTCGGCACTAAGACGTCTTATTTTTGTCCTTTCAGGATCAACACTGATATGAGCAGAAGAGATGAGACTGAGACTGAGACGTGCAGAGGTACATCTTCAAAGGAAAAGCTTGTGCGACATTTCTCCTGATCCTGCGATGGACAGCCTGAAGAACATTTCAGTTTACAGTTAAAACCAAAACAGCGAATCTCTATCTCCAGTGAATTTATGTGTTGTTGCAGAAAGCACCTATTAGCCAATCATGAAGACCGCTTAAAGTACTATAAAATATAATCAGGACATGGGACATGGACATGAAGAGAATATTATCGGTACAACTGCTGATAACATACAGTACAGCAACTTTTGATGCTTTACAGTAGTTAGAAATATTGAATCTACAAGTTGCCAGGAACTCGTTGACAATTCAGAATTTTGATCCAGGAAGCAAAACGGCTGACGGACGACGATGTGAAGTACTAAAAGACTGGGTCTCAGTTGCTTTGTTTCTTTTTATTTATTACTTTTACTTTTGCTTCTCCGCTTTGTAATAATCATCTGTACTGTAGGTGGGCTGTCATTGGCCAGTGACACTCAGAGCAACTCTTGCAGGATGACGCTGACAGCACTGAGGGAATCCGACTCATTTGTCGCCTTTCTCAATACCTGATGAGAGGACTGGTAGCGAAGCCATCACGGTTCACAGTCCTGCTTCAGTGCTCAATTGTGGGTGATCAGCATCATTGGAAGTATTTAAAAAAACAAAACAAAACAAAAAACTAATACTCCACCAAAAAACTGTTTTTTGAATATAACACACAAACACAGTAGGTTTGAAAAGTGGCTATAAAACAGCTTTTATTTCAGGTTTAATGTGTTTGGGTTGCAATGGCTTTCATTACCGACCAGTTTTTTTGTTTGGAAAAAAAGTTTCAAAAAACATCCACAAACCCATAACGTGATGTCTGCTCTCCGTCCATGTGCTGACTGCTGAGTATGTTCCAAACACTATTTCTTTGCCAAAATATGGCTAAATACATTTGCTTGATCTTCAAGTACAACCGCTTTTGATACACAGGAGGACAGTTTTTAAGAAGTCCGTAATTTGTTTCTCATGTTTGTTTTTTTGGCCTTTTTTTTTTTTTTTTGGATGAAGTCAGTTACATAAAAGTCTGCAACAACCCTGTGCTGTCTAGCAAACATTAACTCCTGAAGTATCCCGAATAAAAGTCTTCATTAAGTAACCAATCATGGACAATGTGTCATGATGTTAAAGAAAACAGTGTCATTCCCTCTGCCAAGAAAACATTATAGGGCTTTAAAGGCCACTATTAAGGTGGTGTTAAGCATCAGTACTGTTGCTATGCTTACTTGCATGCTAATTAGCATAAATTTTAAACAGAGTTTAAACTATTGACTGGAAGAAATCAGAAATACACACATAAACATGAATCAACCATTCAGCCTCAGAGCTGTTAGCCTTCCTTGTGCTTACCATGCTGTATTATGAATCATCCATCGCTACACCAGGGCACAGTTATCTGTTACAGGGCTGACCGTGATGAATTCAGTACCAATCCTCTCTGCAGGTGTTGGGTAAGGTGGCTACTGGGTCAATCCTCCTAAAAGAGAAGTTCTTTTTAGCCGTTGCACATCAGTGGACTCGCTGCCAGAACTGAATATTGATGTTAACAAACCTCCTGAATCCAGCTCTGAGTGTTTATAGAATGAACATAGTGAATTATTCCATACGTTTTCATTCACTAAAACTCTGTCTGACCCTCTACCAAAACACCTCTTACTCTACCAGTAATGATCAGCTATTTTATTTACTGTGGACTATGTATCAGTACAGACTCCATCCATGCATTAGTATTAATGAACTGTATATTTATACATATGGTGTGACGTAGCGGCCCTATTCGATGCCCATTCTAGCCACCGACCTTTTGTTAAGTCTACCGAAGGGCTGTCACAGGAGCTAAAACCCAAACGATGGATTTAAGTTATTCATCCTCCCCAAGGTTGATAACATCTGGATTTCATTTGCAAAAAAAAAAAAAATGTTATCAACACATAGAATTTATACTGTAAGTCTTCCAAATATTGTTTTCTCCATCCTGTGTGTAGTTGGTCATAGGTTGCTATTGGTTTGCGGGAGACATAAAACAGAGGTGAGTGGTGTAAAAATCGCAGGGTGGTGTCTCCTGAGCAAAATATGTAGGGCAGGCACTGGTCAGCTCAGATAAAACCTAAATTTTCCATTGGATATTGTACATGGCCTTTTTAGCTGGAGGGTTCATACCCTTTGGATTATTGCTGCAATGGTTTCGGAGATTGAGTCATTAAATATTAACAATGTGGGTAAGGGCTGGTGGTGTTTTATTTCACACTCTTTCATACGTGTGTCTCCTCTGTGTGTTTTGTTTTTTTGTGGCAAAGCACAGGAGATTTGTATATTTCTACAAAACTGAAGTGGTGTTAGATTTCATGCCGCTAAGAGGGTGGTGGTTTGGGAAATTCAGCCAGCAACCATAACCATTTATCCCTTCCTCAGCCACTCACACAAACACACACACAAATGCTAGAATAAACTCTGCTTTGTAGATCATACACGCATCTCTGGGAAATATTTGGTATTAAAATTAAGTGATGTCAACCAGAACAGGAGGCAATAACTCCTTTATGTGAAATAGGGGCCAAGTTTCTTGATGGTGAAGATGAAACATCCAGACACTGCATATTTATTTACATTCTCTGGATGTCTAACCTCCACATATATCACTTTTATTTGTTGGCCTTGGCAAATGTCACGGCTTATCCACACATCTCAGTTTGTTGCTAGAGGGCAGGCTGGTTATGCCGGTGACATTTGAATAAATAAGTGATTACTTATTTGCAGAAGCGAGCAGAAAGTGCTGCATATGTGAATCACAGGCACAGCCTCTGTTCTGCTTGTGGTGAAACACACTTTAAATGAATATTTCAAAGTAGGTTGGGAGAAAATTGTGCCAGAGTAAGTGAAACTAACCGGATTACAGTAAAACAGTGGATTGTATTATTGGTTTCCGAAAAGATTTTCTTAAATCATTGTTTATGACTATGTTAATTATAAGATAACCATTTGTTCCTTTACCCCAGGATATGAACTTTACCCTATATTAACCAGACATGAGCTATTTTAGGCAATCACAAGAGCCCTGGCATAACTGTCATGGCCAGAAGATCCATGGAGCTACTGTTTATCCACTTTGGACAGACCCTAATCCTAAAAATAATTTGGATACTGTACAACTATCACATCAAACCACCTTCATGCAAACTATGAGGGATTTCTTAAAGCAAAACTGTCAGTGTGAAGTTGCAGTCAAGTGGCAGACAGTGATTTAAACTCTCACAGCTGCTAATAAAATAAGAAACAACACTGGGAATATTTCCCTTCCTTGTAAAATTTGCTCCCCGAGGGTTTTTCCGGAGGTTCCTCCGTTAATCCTGTATGTAAATCGCAGCCAATAGATGCTGTTGTTGAGTTGGGCTGGGATTAGCAGGAGGCGAATGAGTTTCAATTTTACTGGATTACAGAACAAAGAAAGGGGAAAGGGACACCCTGCTCTGTTAAGGGAAAAAGAGAAATAAACTGAGGAAAAAAAATACAAATAGTAGACAATAAAACGTGCGATCGAAGTCAACATTGTGATGTTCCGGATTACGATGTTTTAGCGGACGCTACAGCTACATTGTGGATGGGAATTGTGAGCGTTTCTGATGGATTAAAACGGGGGAATAAACCTATTCCGGGATTGACAACAGCAACAAGGCTATTTAATCGCTAATTAAGGTGAGATTTGGCTGTCGGTTTTTATATCCGCGAACAGTTATGTGGTGTGTTTTCATTGCGTATGCCGCTTTTTGTAGCCGTACATTCAGAAATTACAGATTATAACCTAATTTCTGGACTGGGGGAGGAGATGAAAGGAAAGTGCTAGCGCTAGCTAGCAAGAGGGCTAGCGCAGTAGAGCTAACGAGTTTATGCTAGCTAGCTCAACGTTATAATGACACCGTTAGCTAATTAGCCAGGTTGTTGATTAGTTAGACATATGGTAACTAATGTAGAGAGGTTATTGTTATTTAGCGATAATCTCAGCCTAGAGGGACTTCTTCCTGTAACCTTGCCAGTGGAACGCTAGCCTATATTTATGACTGGGATACAGGGTCTGTCTGCTTGCTAAATTATCCCCCATACATTGCTATCACTGACTATAAGGTTACCAGCTAGGACAATAAAGCCAGCTAGCTAAATTAGCTAGTGTAAACGACAGAAGAAGCAACACATCTAAACTTCAGAAAACAGTCTGAATACAGCAAGCTATATCCAACTGCATTGCCTAGTTAATTCCTTGTTACACTTGTATTGATGTGCAGTAAACTTTAATAATAATTTACTAAATGACTGCTATCGGTAATTTCAATCTTCTACTAAAAGTAGCACGGTTGGCGTGTGTCTTAAAATAAAAGAAAAACATTAGATGTTCGAAAAAAGAAACACAAACTTAGATAACGCACACGCAAGTGTTTTATTGCGTGATTCTGAAGCCAGATAACGTTAGTGATATTCTTCTCATTTTGCCCTCAGTTGTCTTTTTGTAGTTGATACCAGACGCGTCAAAGTTTAAAAGCAGCTGACTGGAATAAAACTTTATCAGCTGTAACTGTCTGACCGAGTGAATTCACAAGACAAGAGAGAAAATAAGACGTATTGTACACACGACATAGGCTCATTTCCTCTGGAGGAACAGACCTCGACTTTTATTTATTGCACCCATGTCTCATATCCTGTGGTTTCAAGCTTTTTTTTTTTTTTCTCCCCTGGGTCGGTCCAGCTTTTCAAAAATAATTCCCTTCCACTCTCATGTGATGTGAAATTAGTAGTAGTTCTCCTGCTAGCGTTTTCCAGCACAAGAAGTTCTCACCACAAACTCCCATCCCTGTATATAATCTTTATCAGGCCAACTCTTTGTAATTGTTAAAAACACAACAGACAAAACAAGTCCTTTATCCAACTGTTTATCTGTTGTCCATACATCATAATGACATGTAGTTTGTCCTTGTTTTTAATACCAGACAAATGAGACAATCATATCAGGCTTATTTCCTGTTATTCCCAATTTTATTTCCTCCGAATAATTAATTGATTTAGCATCTAAATTTTATGGCTACACTGTATAAACCTGTAATAAAACACTGAATTGAACTGAAAAATGACTTGTTGGCATATTACCTGTATGGACACACTGTGCTTTAATCTGTTGTCGGTAGAAAAAGGAAACGTATAAAAGTAGCCCTCCTCATGTGTGTCCCTTTATTACTGTATGGCTGTTTTCATTATTTTGGGCTTAAAGGACAACTCATGGTTTTGCACGATCTATCCTATTAACTGCAAATGTCATATACAATATTGCAAACCGAAATGTAGCCACAGCTTTGTTATCTAAGCCTGCATTGGATGGTTGAACATTTTGTCCGTAATATGTTAAGCTCATATCGCTGGTCTAGTGTTTACCATTGAATCTTTTTTGGCATTCATATCATCAGTGATGACATTCCCAAAAGGCCGTGGCCTCAGGCTCAGGGTGTAAACAAAAGGATTATGTTGTTGTTTGCTCTAATGATAAGTTCCCACACCCTGACTTACTGTAAGTTGTTGGAGGTATGTCAAAATTGTCTTTTACTTTTTTCGTGCTATAAAAACCATTGTGCATTATTCAATTACTGTAATGCCATGAAGACTGATGCACATTATAATCCCTCTAGAAGAACGAAAGTCAAAAGTAATCCAGCTATTGAGATTTGTTTTAAGGATTCCTGTATACCTGTGGTACATCCACACAGGTGTTTTCCCTCATTTTGCCTAATGATATCTAATAGGCTTGTAGAAACTGCACTTCAATTGACATCTCTCTGGTCCTCCTATTAGATTTGTTGTTAGGGCAGGACAAGTTACACCAGTATTGTCACAGAGTGCTAAATAGAACGCGACTGGCATAGTGCCTGTTGTTCTGCAAGTAAACAGAACACTAACAGCATCATAAACAATACAGACATCAACAAAAAAACATACTTCACAT